TATATATATATTTATTATTATTATTTTAAAATCCCAATTCATGCTGCACAAAACTCTAATGGCATCTAGTCTGTAGACGTGATATAAATTTTCTGGCAAATGATTCTGGACTTGCTTTAATCTGGCAAGCACTCGTTAATCCATTCTTTGCCTGCTGACACTTGTCTTTATTAACATACATGGGTTTTTTCCCAGACACAATTATGAATGTTCCCTTTACCAGGATGTATCTGTATTCAGAAGCTTTCTGTGCAGTGTAGCTACTTTCTCTGGTAATCAACTTCAAAGGGTTTAACAGAGAACATAATTTACCTGCAAAAGATTTTGCTTGTGATACTTCTCTGCATCATTGGCGTAGCCTCGTGAAGTTCTGCATGCATCTGACTTCTGGTGAAACCGGTGCAATTACCAGCAGGGTCAGAATAATTGCATGGACTGTAGTGATATATGGAATACCAGACAAGGAAGTCTCGTGGCTTGCCCTGTGCTGTCGTCTTATTTAGAAACTCAAGGGCTGCAATGCCATTTTGGAGGCAGATTTCTGAGTACAACTCCCTCTCTCCCTTTACTCAGATTTATTTTTTTTTTGCTCCATGCTATTTGCTTGTCTCTACTGTTTCTAACTTTTGACCTTGCTGCTACCATTTTGTATGCAAAGCCATTTAGCAGGCATTGCCTTCTCATGCCTCTCCTTTGACTTTCCTCTGCCAAATTTCTGTATGTAGCTTTGTTTCCAAGTACCTGTTTCTGCCAGGTAAGTGCAGTCTGATACCTGTCACCGATGCAGCTATCAGGGGAAGCAAAAAGGAGAGTGTTAATAAAGCCTAACTAGCCAAACTGGATGTTCCACCAGTGTGGTCTCATCCTTCTGCCTCTCCCAAGCATCACTCTCGGGTTTGTTGGTAGTCGTTTGGAGTTCATGGGGTGTTTTTTCCCAGTAAACTCCCCTTGTTTTTGGGAAGCGTCAAGCTTAATGTTTTCTGACTCCTGTATGAAGCTTGCTATTGTTTTATTCTTCCTGTAGAAAAGCAAATTCACCCCATTCTTTAAATACCAAAGTATCATTACTGAAGCAGAGGGCAGCACAGGTACTTTCCTTTATAATACTGAGGAAGGACCTTCAGAAGTCCTGTGCCTCATGACATTAATGGATGATCACAGTTAGCACTCCTGTCTGTGGCAATGTTGCCCTTTGTTTACTTGTCGTTATTCTTTCTTTACTGTTTTTTGATTTAAGATGTTTTTTGATTTAGCAGTGCAGCCTGAGCAAGGGAGAAATATCTGAGTGTCATGAAACTATGCCAGCTGGCCAGAAGCCTGTGGGGCAGAGATTTGGAGAGGTGGTCTGGGTGTTCATCTGTAGGCTGTAGAGCAAGGCAATGAAGAGTTAAACTGTCTCTGCCTCTTAATTGTCCCTAGACAAGATTGAGAGATTAAGTTATCAAACACGATAGAAAACTGATGATCTTTACCTGCTGAAAGCTACACCGAGAGTGTAATTGAAGAAAATCAGAAACAACTTGACCTCATTTGGGCTTCTCTATGGAGTTGGACTCTTTGCTGTTGGGGAGCCAAGTGTGTTTATTCAGTTGAGTGCTATGACTGCAGTTCCTGAATTAAAAGCCTGTGAAGATTTTTGCAGTTGTATAGATAAGTTGGGAAGTTTTGGGTGGTTCTCTCTATAAACACTTGCTTCCATAACGTATTTCCTGTGTTTTATTTTGAACTCTTTTCTTCACTTCTAGTTTCTCCTGTTCTGCTTGAAACACTACTGTTAAAAAAAAAAAACCAACAAAAAACTGCTGCCTTTCTTTCAGGCCTGTGCTCATTTTTCACTTCTTCAGCAACTTCATTGCTTGCTCTCCTAGGCTCACTGGCTCTGAGGTGACTTGTCTGATCTGTTTGCTTCTCTTGTCTTGCCCATAAGGTAGTATCCAGTCTCTTAAGGGCCTTTGTTTAACCATCTCCAATGGCTCTTGCTTTGCCCAGTTTGATCACGGGCTGCAGCTGTGAGTTTCCCAACCAGCTTCAGAAATGATGACTGATACATTTCTTTTCCACATGATTGCTGAGTGATTTAACTAGCAAGTTCTTGGTTTGGGTCTACTTCTCTGCTTTTGATGGCTCTTTTCAGGTAACTGAAGATAGGTCTGGCTTTATGGGAAGCTTGAGGGGAGGATTATTGGGAAAATACATATTTCTCTGTGCCTTACAGAAATTTAAATCTCTTTATAGCAGAGAAAGAAAAGCAAATGTGGTATTGGAAAGTGGAGTGTTTGAGTGCACCAGAAGTATTAAACCAAATTTAATTTGCTTGTGCATATCTTAACTTCTTGTCTCTCTTCCATTAAGATTCCAATACTGAATATTCAGATGAAAATATTCCCAGCTCTCTGTACTGTCGCAGGAACCATATTCTCCTGTACAAACTACTTTGGTGTCATCTTCACAGGTGGAGTTGGCAAAAATGGATCCACTATAGCAGTAAGTACTTTGTTCTGCTAGCTACTCTTCAGCACTCTGTGGCTTTTCAGCCATGCCTTTCCTTTTTATTTAAGACAATACTACATGTGAAACACTTTCAGTTCCTTGCTGGCTTGGGAAAATCAAGTTAATATTGTCTGCATAAGAGCAGTAACTTAGGAGTCAAGAGTTTTAAAATTTTTGAGTGATTGAAAGTGTTCATGGTACTTTGATATTTGCTTTTGAATTAATCATATAAAAAAAGGTTATACAAATATACACACCCCCAAAGAGTTCATAGGAAAGTCCAATGCAAAAATCCCTTCAGAAGGAAGTTTTTCAAGATTGGTTATGGTTTTGATCCTTTGAAAAGATCTGTACTATTCATACTACCAGTGAAGAAGTGCAGGTAGAGGTTTCTGCACAGGTACCTTCCATTTTAGTGAAGATGGTGATTGATTCTGAAGCCCCGGGAGTTTTCCAAAAAGCAATTCTATACTGGCCTAATAATTAGTTGCTACCTAGAAGGCTGGTTTACCTGGTTTCTAGCTGGCACAGAAAAAGCAATAGGAGTGTTGTCTCCTGTCATTTGCTAAGTGTCAGCTGCTGCCTGTGTGACAAGTGTCAGAACTGTGCGTTTTTTGCTGCCTAAAACCTTATTTTCTCCCCCAGCACAAGCATCAGCTCACTCAAGTTTCACCACACTTTGTTCCTGTTAGTACCAGTGTTCAGAATTATTTGATTTTAATGTGATTTTAGTTAAACACAACCCATTGCATGCCACGTGAGTGTTTGGCTTATTGAGGTTTCTTTGCAGCATGCACATTTTTTTTTTAACCTAATGCTTTCACTTTATTTTGCTGCAGGGAACAAGTGTCCTTTCACCTTTCCTTCATATTGGGTCAGTGATCGCATTAGCTGCAATGATCTACAAGAAATCTGCTGTGCAGCTCTTTGAAAGGCATCCTTGCTTATATATACTTACTTTTGGTTTTGTATCTGCTAAGATAACAAATAAACTAGTGGTAAGTGCACCAGCACCTTCGCGTTTCTTGTTACTGCAGTAAAACTTTTTGTAGATTTTAAAATTCTCTGGTTTTTCCACCGATTTAACTCACTTCTGTACTGAAGTGATACTCGTGCTTTACTTGTTTTCAGTAGCTTGGAGGTGCAGCGGAGCCTTTCTTCTGTTTGCAAGGGGAGTGGTAAACCTCAAGCTAACGCCACGGTTACACAGTCAGTGCTAGTACAGCTCACAGTTGCCAGAGTTCTGTTTCTCCCCTTTCCCCAGCTGTTAATTCACACTTTTGCAGTGTATTTGTGCACATGAAGCTGGAACAGAAGTGGCTGAAACCCACCTCAGATGCAGGTGCAGAAGGGAGGAAAGTTTGGGGGATGGAGAGAATCTCACAGGATGTTGGGGATTGGAAGGGACCTCGAAAGATCATCCAGTCCAACCCCCCTGCCAGAGCAGGAACCTCAATGAGATCACACAGGAAGGTGTCCAGGCGGGTCTTGAATGTCTCCAGAGAAGGAGACTCCACACCCTCCCTGGGCAGCCTGTCCCAGGGCTCTGGCACCCTCACTGGAAAGAAGTTTCGAAGTTTTTTCTCAAGTTGAAGCAGAACCTCCTGTGTTCCAGCTCACACCCACTGCCCCTTGTCCTACCATTGGGCATCACTGAGAAGAGCCTGGCTCCATCCTCCTGACATTCACCCTTTACATATTGATAAACATTAATGAGGTCACCCCTCAGTCTCCTCTTCTCCAAGCTAAAGAGCCCCAGCTCCCTCAGCCTTTCCTCAGCAGGGAGATGCTCCACTCCCTTCATCATCTTGGTGGCTCTGTGCTGGACTCTCTCCAGCAGTTCCCTGTCCTTCCTGAACTGTGGGGCCCAGAACTGGACACAATATTCCAGATGTGGCCTCACCAGCTGACAGAGAGCTGCTGAGGTCTGGAAGAGTTGCTCAGGGTTTAACTTCACCAATTGGAGAGAAACAGTGGTTAAAATTCTGAACAGGTTTGTACCAGGGATCAGATGGCAGTGCTGTCAGGAGAGGAGCCCCTGTTGAACAGAGGGAAGGAGGAATTGAACAACTGCTGCCCCACACCATCTCAGTTCTGTGGACATACATTGTGTTGCCACATGAACTGGATCAGTGTTGGACATGACTCGCAATGGAAGAAAAGTTTATTTCTTACCAAGACCAGTTTACTTCACAGTCACCTCAACAGTTGTGCTGGTCAGAGTGGGGATGTGGTGTAGGACAGCCTCTGTGCATGCGGGGCAGGGTGGGAAGGTCACACTTGGACATGAAAAGATGTGATCATCAAATTGTAACCAGAGAGAGGTGGTGATCCTCATGGGATGGGAACAAATAGATGGAGTGAGAGGAACACCAAGTGTCTCTGTTTTCTGAAGATCTAGAAGCTGTGAGTTTTAGTTTCGAGGCTCAACTAAACCTTAAAATTTACCAGTCTACTTCCATTTTACTGTTTTGTTTCTGGCAGGACGAAAAGTTTATGGGCTGGAAAATGTGTTAGGGTTTTTTTTCCCTGTAGCTACATTCTTTGTTCTAATAAAAGATACTTCTCTGCAAACCTTGCATCTCATATAGCTGTAGATTTTCATGATTAAAACAGTATTGCTGCTGCTTAAGTACTTGATCTGTCTTACAGTAACGTGGCTTGAACTGTAACTCTTGGCATTCTGTCTTCTGAAATCACTCTACCTTGGCTGACATATGTTTATTTCTTAAACTTCCTTTTTTTTTTTTAATTTTAAATGCAGGTTGCACACATGACCAAAAGCGAGATGCATCTGCACGACACAGCATTCATAGGCCCAGCACTATTGTTTCTGGACCAGTATTTTAACAGCTTTATTGATGAGTATATTGTACTCTGGATTGCCCTGGTAAGTACAGGCTCACTTTGCTTGTTGGTAATCACAGCAAAAATTTTCATGCTCTTCCACAAATATTGTTTGTGTTTGTTTGAGCCTGGCTGACTCACCTAGCGAGTGATGGGACTGGGAGTCTGCTTCCCTGAGTATAATTATTTGAAACAGAACTCATGCAAACAGAGGGTAACATGGTTTGCTTGGTGTGTCATTTAAACCACTTTGAATATTTGCTACGTTGCTTTAAAGCTTAGAATAGGATGTTTTGAAGATTTGTGTGGATGTCTTGGTAGCAAGGGAATATATTAGCTGCAGCGCAGTGTGACTGTGCCTTAAGCTCTTGAAAGTGTGTATGTCTGACATTAATAGCAGCACCCATTAGGAAAAAATAAGTTAAACTCATATGTGCTTATCAAGCAAGTTTTATCTGCCAAAATGCAATATTAACCTTTTAATAAAATTGATATTTTAGGTACTGTTACCACCTTTCAGAGTTAATGGGGCATTTCACAGTATCTATATAGCTGCTCTAACTGTTTTTCCCTCTCTGACTGTAGAATTAAAAGTCTGTATTCTTACAAAGCTGGAAAAAAGCCCAGCATGCCTAGAAACTTTCTTCACTGTGTGATTATTCCTGCAGAGTTGGAGATGTAGTTTGTGAAAAGATGACCCCGGTGCTTTTATTCTGAAATATGTGGGTGGTGTAACACTCTTGTGTTATCCTCTTTGAAAACAGAGATCTAAATGTGTGTAATTTTTTATTTTTCCCCCCCCTTGGCAGATCTTTTCTCTCTTTGATTTGCTTCGATACTGTGTGAGTGTGTGCAATCAGATTGCTGCCCATCTGCACATCCACGTATTCCGGATCAAGTCCTCCTCTGTGCATTCTAATCACCATTAGTAAAACAGGGAGTCACCCTAAGGAGAAACACCAAGAGTTGGTTTTCTACGTGAACGGATGTGAAGATATGTAGGAGACTTAAGGCAAAAAGCAGATAAGAACAAAGTAATTTATAATAATCAATGTTGTATAACTTTTATTCTTTGTTATCAGTAACACTCCTTAACTAGTCTCCTGCCTGAGAGAGTGAATTCCAAGTATTACACCCTAGTCAGCTCTACATGTAGTCGACTCTGTTGGTTCCAAGCCTGGGAAAGCATGCAGGGAGTAATGCTCTGTCTTTGTAATTACCTTGATTACAAAATAATCTATATATGGTGAATGGATCCCCAACAACTCAAGTTTCTAATGTAGTAGAATTACAGCTGCAATACGACTTGCTTTTAATTTTAATATTTCATCATCTCTTAGTGAAATACTTGTTTAGTGTCCACTTGAAATTTATTTACTAAAGACCTGAGCAGGTTAAACCAGAGATATCGCACTAGCTTGTGTAGCTGAAGCAGCTGTCGAGGTTTGAGTCCAGACTGATGTGGTTCTTTTGCTTATACATTGCTGATAAAGCGGTTTCTTGCTAAAGAATAACGGGTTAAACAGGGTTCTGCAAGCAGAAGGGGTGACCAGCATGCAAAATAGTGTGGTATCTTTGTCAATTAATTTTATTTTTTTAAATAAACATTATCTAAAAAGACAACTTATTTCTCAATTTTCTTCAGTGGAAAGACTATAAAAAAGAAAATTTTACTGTTTACTTTTTTATGTATAAAACTTAAGCAAAACTTCCTTTCTGCTCTTAATAAATAAGAATTCTGAGAGCAACAGTTGTCTTCAGATGTGTGTGTTGCTCTGTCCTACTTAGACTGACCAAGTGCAATCCTGCCTGTTAGTTAAAAAGCAGTTTTCTAACGCTTTTATGTGTATAGTGTTGGCATTCTGGGATCTCCAAGAGCTTTCTGTGCTACATCGTGCAGTAACTTTGGGGTGGGGTTTTTGCTGTTGTTGTTTTAATACCATTTAAAATGTGGTGAGCTGCCTCAGGGAGGCAAATTAGATTTCATGGAGGGTTTCATGGCAGTGAAGTGCTGCAATGTGTGCCACAGGCCCTGGCATTGAGGGGACCTTCAGACCCTGAACAAAGTGCCTGGGCTTGCTCTACAGAGCAGGGAGAGTGTCTTCAGAGTAGGACCTGCTGTGGCTGTCGGGGAGCTGCTTGGGAGATGATGGGGAACGTGAGGAACTAGTCCTCTGACCATGAAGCATCTCATTCAAGAGGGTAAGAAAATGCCTCTGTCTACTGGGAACCCAGAGCCACAGCAGTACCTGAAGCCAACTGTGTGTGTGTCTTTGAAGGAACTGAGGACAGCTCAATAAAAAAAAAACAAACAAAAAACCAACAAAAAACCCCCCCAAAACCCAAACAAACAAAAAACCCAACAACAATAAATCAAAAACCCCCTTGGCCACAGGAAGTGGTGACATATATTTCCTGTGATACCCAAGTGATTAGAAAACATGCTCAGGAAGTGGAGAGAAAATTGAGTTCCTTCAGTGACTGGAGAGCTCTTTAAACCCCTTCTTCCACCTCCCTGGGCCAGTACCCAGAGTCAGGTTATCATGGACAGAGAGGTCAGGCTTCCCAAATTGTGGCCTTGCAGGATATGGGGCTGCTTGGGATGGAGAGAGAACACGGGAGGAGCGTGGCTGTAGTTCACTTGTTGAAGTGTTTGTGAGGAAAGAACTGGGGCTGGCCCCTGTTTGAGATGCTGCAGGAAGTGGAACTGAGGTGCTGACTTCTCCAGCTGAGCATTTAGCACGTGGATGTGCTCTGTCTTGTGTCTTCTCTGCCTGTAAGAGTTTTGTTTCCTTCCTCTGGGGTGGTGCCCTTTCAACAAGTGACTTGGAGGTCATGCCTCAGGATTGGGGCGCTGGGGAAAGGAAGAATGTCTTCAGGATGAGGAGATATTTATGTAGGCTTTCCCACTTTGCCTGTGAAGTTCTGGGTGTTTTCATGCTTCTGAGCAACTATTTCATGGCAAGTGCAGCTGAGGTTCTCTGGGGGGCCTGACCCTGTGGGTTTGCATTGGGGGTTCCCAAAGGTCCCTGCCAGGCTGAAGCCTGAGGCAGAGTTTGGTTCCCCCTTCCTGATGG